CGTGTTTGTTTTCGTTTGACGCTCACTCCTGTTGTACTCGGTAGTGGGGCTTGCCCGATTCCTGTGGCGCATTCCCACCTGAGCAGTTTTTCACGAAGGAGCACAAGTGAGTGACAGCTTGAAGAGCTTCAATGTAAAGAAAATGAGGAAAGCGCGTGCTGGTTCATGAAGATAATAGTTTTTTTATGACGAAGCACAAGTCACCGACAACTGAAATAACTTTGCTGTTAAATAAAAAAAAAGATGCCAGAGTGACTTATGAGTTTAATGTGTTCAAGACGAAAAAAAAAGCAAATCCAGCGCGTTGTAGGAATAAATTTCATGCGAAGCAGTCTACGAGCAGCAGCTTACGCCAGAATTTTTCTGTGAGCCGAGTGTTACGAGGTGGATCTCCATGTTCTCATACCAGTTCATTTTTCTGCTACAATGTTCTGCTTCCAGTTAAACGCTCATAAGTCTGTTTTTTAATGTGCGAAGTTTCACTCCGAGTAGCGTCAAAAATCATGCAGCTATGAGTAAAGCAATGAAAAGAATGCAATTACCCAGTATTCTGAATTTTGTAAGATTTTTCTGGCCGTTCTATGAAACACTCATTTTGTTCCTGGACCTATCCTTAGTTCATGTATACTAAATGACGCAAAACCACTACATGAGTTACTTAGCAGAAAATGCAGTGTTTATAAAAAGCAAGCTGAATCACTTAAAAAAAGGGGGGGGGTCATCATTGCTGAATTTGAAAACTAATTCAAAAGTTCTCACAAGTGAATGTGCATATCACTTTTTTTGGCAAGAAAGATAATATTAATAAAAATTACTGCACATCCACGAAGTGAATGCATATGACGGAGCGAAGTAAGGTCCTCAGGCCCATAATGCCTACGTTAAAGTCAACGACTATATAGTAAATGATGGACAGATCGACGGACTGACAAACAAACGGATGCACTATCGCACGTACAGATGAACAGATGCACGGACAGACATAAAGACAGATGCACAGACGGTCTGTTTTAAACCTATATGCGCGCTATGAACACTCTAGTACCGTTTACGTAACATCTATGTTTCGGTCTGACGGAAGCTACGACAACGCCGTAAACGGACATCGTGAGAGCCTAAGGAATTTCACTCCTAAAAGTACAGTAGATAATGCAGCAGGTTTTCTTGAGAATCCCAGCGAACGCATTTATGCCAATTATGGGATTACGCGTCATCTTCGACCGCAGCTCTGCAGAAGCGTGGCCTCTGCAATCGGCTCCGGTAATGCGTGCAGACGGAGCTAGTCACAGCCGGCCACAGTTGAATATATGAGAGATGCTTGATTATGCTATGTTTATCGTTATGGCAGAACTTTCAGCGTATTTATTTACTTTAGCTTCGGTACATTGCAGCGCCCTCCTTTGGGTGGCACACAAACCAGCAACAGCACGCCCGCAGAGAAACAAAATAAAGACGACGCTTGGCTGTGGTACATGACGCCAATGCTCACGCTGTGATTCAGCCATCTCTTTCCTTCGCTCCTGTGCCATAAGCCTACAAGGAGTGACCAGGACGCGATGTAAAATCCTGGATGTGAGGTAGGGGATAGCTGCCGCAGACAGTGTTGGCGTTCAGCACTCGATAATCTTCACAAGGATGCTAGTCGCCGGGATAACAAATAGGTACTAAATTAGCGTAAAAAGGTGAGCGCTCGCCCGCAAATGAGGGCGCTGCGACATAAACACCACTCTAGCAGTTGAGATCAGTGCGTGGCGGGAACCATACACTATCCTATAAATACGCTATGGGTAATTATGGTGGTAGTGCCTATATGAATGCTTCAACGCACGGCGCTTCAGTCACCACGGGAATTATCGGTAATACACGGATTTGCCTTAACTTCATTCTTTATAGGCTGTGTTTTGCTCCTTGTGCCCTGCCTCCGCTTTGCTGCATAAAGGCGTTCAGCAAATACTCAGCAGTTCTACGTCACCGTCTTCACTTTTTAGGCTCACCAGTGCAAATATGCTCACGAAACTCACAATGATCCATTCTTTTATCCAAAACAAGCACTAAAGCACCACATTAAACAAAGACCCAAGTGCATTCGAAGCTAAGCGCGAAGATAAGGCAAAGCCGCGTACTAGCCTTCATTCCCACGGTGACTGAACTATCGCAGCACCCTAGTTTTCTCTAGTAAATGTTGTAAGAAACATTACGGTGGGAATCTTCCTTCAATCGGAGTGCAGCGTGGCTCCGCCAAAGGTACTGACGATGACGTAGTTCCGGTTAGTTCGTTTTTACGTCCACTCTCAGCCAGTTCATGGCGGCGGAGCAAGAAAACTTTTGTTTTGCGTATTTTGAAGCTCCTACTGCAATAATTGCGTAAAAATTATGACATCGTCGACAATGTCGGTTCTTGTTAACCACGAAGTTTCAACTAATTCTAAGTCCACTCGAGCTACTTTCTAAAGGGGAGGGTGAAGTGAGGCGGCTTATTCAAAACTAGTGCGGTTGCAGGATAACAGCTCGTGCCCAACCTCGATCAATGTTTTGGAACTGGAGCTGCCCGCACGTGACCCGTGCCGCTGCGGGAAGCGCACTATTGTACACGTATGTAGTGTCGGATTGGACTTGGAGGGTACAGTGTGTGCTCGGCTCGGGTTGTGAAAAACGTGTTCCGCAGGAACCGAGGAGGTGGATGTTATTGATTTGCAGTCAGTCTTCCATGTGCATTTGAAAAGCATACAGTATTTCATCATCTCAACTTCACCTCTTCATGCGCCTTCTGGCAGATATGCGCCATCGCCATACACAGGGTTGTTAAAAAAAATGAGGACAGTCAAAAAGCATAAAAAAGTAAAATGCATGATTTCCCCCCTACCAGCATAATTACATTTTATTTGGGGGCCGACATCCTGAAATGACTAGAGATGCCAATTATGGCAATAATCAAAGAAAAAAAAAGAATATTTACGTTTTAAATAGAGGAGGCACGCATTATGTTCAAACGGGAGAATGGGAGCTCTTCTTGTGAAGAGCCCATTGCCATTTTGAGAATAACAATTAAAAAAGAATAATTGACGCAGGTTTTTTTAACAATGTGATGAAATATGATCACTTTCTCCGGTGAAACTGTAACACGGTAGCGATACTACCTTTTTAGACGTCCATAATGAGGAAGAGTTGTGACATCAACCACCGATTGACTTCGCTTCGTAGATATGTGGTCTTTCTTTTTCTACGAGGGCAAGGATGACGCAGCTGGATTAACGAATGCAGAAGTGCGAACACTAGTGCAATAGTTCTGAACAAGGACGGCCTTCCGGTAGTCTGCTAGTGACGGTCCCGGCGCTTCCGTGTTGATTTCGTGTGAGCTTGGTTTATTATTATTACAGCGTAGTAATTACCAGAGGCCACTTTTTGTAAATTTCAAAGCTTTAAAGGGTGCTTGATAGAAGAATTTGAAATGTCACATCTGATCTGATCACCCACTTCTGAGGCCATTCCATGGAAATGGTATAACTTACAATGCAGCAATGTTACACTAACCTATTGATTTTGCCGGAGAACAAAAAAGTACTAAAAAGTACTAAAAACTGTCCTTCGCTAGTAATCATCGAAAACAAAGATGAGCTTTGTAATCTTTGTAGTTTTTGTTATATTTCGTGGTTTTCTGATATTTTCTTTTTATCTTTAATTAAGGAGCCATTACACACTTAGTGTTATAAGGCAAGTCACGTAAACAGGTACAGTTTGTCACCAATGAATAAAAAACCAAAAGAAAATGACAGCCTCAATGTCCATGATCAGCCTTAATATCAATGACGCCATCAATGACATCGTTGATGTCCATGATGTCAATGTTTAGAGCACAATAGAGGAATTTACAACCATCTTACGTAGGCATCAATAAGCTTTACAAGCTTGTCGTTAGTGAAACCTGGCATCTGGTATACAAATTAGAGCTATGTATTTGGGCTACACCAAGAGAATACATTTTATGAGAATGGGTAGGTGGATGAATTTTGTCCTTATCAATACTTCAACTCACATCATATATTGAGATAAAAGAGTTGACTGTTCCTGAACATTGACAGAGTACAGAATGTTGCGCGATAACGCTCAGAACATCCTCTGCAGAGTTCTTTCGGCGGCGCATTTCTTAATTTTTTTCATTGTATGACCTATCATCGTTCGCTAATGAAAGCATGCGGAAGTTTATTCATGAACGAGCCCTTAAGCTGATATTGTCTCCAATACTCAGCATTCATTACACTTTAAGAAAGGATTTGTATCAAACAGGTGCATTAACACAATTTTTTGTTGCACTCGAATAACAGCCATCACATAAAACAGTGTTTCGTTCATTACGAGTTTCTTTTCCCTGCACTTCACAATTGCAGGAGACATGCTGTAAGCGACTAAATTGATGTTTTTATAATAGCTCGCAGCATAACAAAATAGTACCTTGTACGGAAACAAACAGAACCTTTCATACAGTAAGTGAGCATGCCTATATTAGAGTAGAGCTGACGTCAGTCGCCTACATTTGCAACAAAATAATGCTGAGGTAGCTAATGACGCAATGAGTTACTTTATTAAACTGTTAATCTTTCTGCTGAAGTTGGTGGTATAGTTACTACAAAAAGTTATTTTCTTTACGAGAGAGGACCTACCACTGCAAGCATGTCTATTTAATAATCGCGTACTGCACGAGTGTATACTCTTAGTTTAGGAGCTTGAAAATTGAGGCCATCCCGTACAGAGATGAATCCGAGCTGCCCTTTGAGGGCGATACTTAATACATATACAGTAAGCCATCTTATAGAGAAAAGCGTTCGCACTAAGAAAGAGCATTCATTTATGGTGTGTTGGGCATCAGGAACAGTTCATCCGTGCTCGAGAGCTTATCAGCTATGAATGAATGGGTGGCTGTTTGCATGGATGTATAAGAACTGCATTTCCTGCTACTATCGACAAAATATGCACTGCTGCGCTATCGGGCATACTATACTTACGAGTCCGATGAACATGAATGACAGCTGGACAACGTCAGTGTAGGCGACCGAGTAGACGCCGCCAGTGACAGTGTACAGCACGGCCACGACTGCTGACACGCCCACGGACACATGGTTATCTAGCCCTGTCACCACACTAACTGTGCTGCCTGCGAAACATGGCCGTAAAATTGTTCGTATGTATTTACAATGAAAGACTACATTAGGCTGAAACGTAGATGCAATCAATATGCGTTTCTTGTATAGTTGCAAAAGGATCTGGCCACAATGCCAACATCATGCATGCGTGAAAACCATTTCAGGAGGAACCGATATACATGCCAAAGCAACGCAAGAGCGTGCGTACGCATGCCACTTTGGGTACAATATACAAAACTTCTCTCATAGAGAGTTTTAATGTAGGTTACCCCTCTCCATCGAGACTCTGAGTGCTTGCGTTCGTTCACACTATTCTTGTTCATTGTTTGTTACCTAAAAGCCCCCAAGGAGAGTTAAAAAAGGTAAGAGCTTTGAGGCGTGGCCGTAAAATTCAAATATACTCTAAATTTACCTAGAATCACTGTGATACATTTTGACGCAGTTGCGTATTATGCAACTTTGCTAAGAAAACATTACACTTGGGCTTTCCTTCGCGCTTGCACACGCGAAAGACTTGATAAGTATATTTAAAACAGGGTTATAGCCTAGACGGATCAGATAATATAACGTGTTCTTAAGTATTAATGTACTATAGTGGAAGTAAATTGTCACTAGGTTAGCGCGAAATTACTTCATATATAGCTGATATCTACAGTGTAGGTAGCCTAGGGGGTTAAATTGACGTTTTTTGCTTTTGTGGAAAGTCTTTCAACCTTGCAGACGTCTTAAAGTGCTGATCTAATTGAGAAGAAAAAAAATGCTCAGACTTTCCGTGTGAAACCCCGAATCGATTCTTCAAAGCACGGTGGTGGGAGACTTTGGATTTATTAAGAACACCCGGTCGAATGAACGTTTACACAAGTCGCTTTGAATTTCCTCCCCGTGAAAATTAGGCCATGTTACCGGAATTATAACAAGCAACCCCCCTGTTTAGATTTCCTGTTTTCGCACCCCTCAATAAACAAACGTTTTTTTATTTTGTATTTTGCTGCCCGCGTTGTCACTTTATCATAACATGCTCTGCGGTTGCCTTATGGCCTACATGCGTGCATGCAAAAGTGCTTCAAGGATGTTTTAGCTTCAAACGCCTAACCTGTCTCAATTTTCTTGCTCGTTGTCGCCGGACTAATTCACAATGCAATATTCATGTGTGGGCCATTAGTCCATCAGTAGGTGCTGCCACGTACAGCTACGAGGATGCTGCTCATCCTGAGAGGCTGCAGCGACAGCTACCGACAAACGTCACTAGTCGAATGACATAGGCATCCAACTACTGCGGCTTGTAGTAGGACAATGCCAGCAATATAAAGGATGACAAAAAGTCTAATGCTTGCCATACGCACCAAGTGCGCCTAGGATGGACCCGCACCAGCAGACTTCTCCAATGAGCGCAGGCAGGAACAGTAGACTGGACATGGTGACACCGAACGTCTCCTGCAGGGGGTCCATCATGGTCACGTAGCCCGCCCGCCACACGGGGCCAGCGATGATCAGGCCACCTGCACTGCCGTGTAGCTCTGTAGAACAGTTCTTACTGGCCTGGTACATTTACCCTAGAAGTGTGGATGTACTTTGAAGTATATGTGATGTATACGTGTACATTTAGTGATGCAGGAAAACAGATTGCGTCATCCAGTATTAAATTGGATTGTACAAAGCCAAAAACGATGACAGCATTGAAGCGAAATGACTAACTTGATTGATCCCGTTTGAACGGAAGGCGGGTATTCCTCGCACTCCTATTCAATGTGAAGCATTATTAGCACACTTCGGCGACTCTGAGCATATCTATCTATCTATCTATCTATCTATCTATCTATCTATCTATCTATCTATCTATCTATCTATCTATCTATCTATCTATCTATCTATCTATCTATCTATCTATCTATCTATCTATCTATCTATCTATCTATCTATCTATCTATCTATCTATCTATCTATCTATCTATCTATCTATCTATCTATCTATCTATCTATCTATCTATCTATCTATCTATCTATCTATCTATCTGTCTATCTATCTATCTATCTATCTATCTATCTATCTATCTATCTATCTATCTAGCCGCCTACAACTTTTCGCTCTCCTGGCCGTTTCGATAATAGTATCGATACCAAAGTTGGTATGACATAACATGATTGTATGACGAGCATAGTTGACTAGTCATAACTTGAAAATCATGACATGTATGTCATGAATGCGATAATTCACATGTCATGGTCTTGCTGCTCTTGTGGTGGTTTCGTTCACATGGCACATTGCAAAACTGGTATGGTATGACATGACTGCATGACGAACACAAGTGACAGGCCCTAACGTGGAAATCATGACATGCTTGTCATGTAAGTCATGACTACAAGCCACACTCATCGTGCGCTCGTGATCGTTTTGCTAGCTTCACATATACCAAGTTTGGTATTTCGGGACGCGAATGAATGACGAAGGTATATGACAGGTGCAAATATGATAATCATGAGATACGTGTCTTGTAAGCACATGACTATATGCCACGCTCATGATGGGCTCGCGGCCCTTTTGATAACTTCACATATATCAAATTTGGTTCTACGTGACACAAACGTACGATAAAGGTAAATGATACGTTCAAACATGGCAATCATGACATGCGTGTCATGTAAAACATGAGAACAGGCTACGCTCATAGTGCGCTCGCGGTAGTTTTGCTAGCTTCACATATACTAAATTTGGTATCACGTAACGTAATAGACAATGAAAGTAAATGACACATCTAAAGATAATAACTATGACTTGGAAGTCACGTACGGAATGATTTACGTGCACTCATAACGTTGTGCTGATGTTAAAATGACATAACAACCTTCCTCATTCGTGCTTCACATATCAATTCCCAGTGTATGTGTGATCTGTCAATTTTTTAATATGTGATGCGAAGCGTTACATCAGTTCATCTTCGTGTATCTCCCCCTCCCCTGCCACCTCCCAGTGCTTCAATAATTATTTGTCATTTACTTGTTAGCGCGGTTGCTAAACAACGACCGCAGAAACCAATCGCTTGCGTTCCCATATTCTCTAGTGCCCACGTTTGCACGCCTTGACTTTTTTTTATTATGCAGCCTTGAGAGATGGTGAGGGGCAGACTTAATAGCGTATAAATATTGTTTTTGCCAGAGCGTCAAACACCTCCCCCTTCTGTACTTAGATGAAGAAAAAATAACAAACCTCGGAAGTTACGCTGTGTCAGATAACCGGCTAAACCAAAATTATGAATTCGCCACTGAATACTAAGCTAATAAAAATAAAAGTAAAAAAAAGCGTCCAAAAACATGCGCACAAATTTGATTTTTACGAGCTCTGCAGCCAATGCACAGTCCTGGAACTTGTAATATTCGTTTATTTCATGATAGTTTTTTCGGCACCGCGTCCAAATGACGCTGTCGCATAATATAGGGTTTAATTTTACAGAAGACACATGCATGTTCCTATCACGTGTATGCACCATGTTCCAGAGTAAAAGCTATTGAATGTCCATACACAAGCGTGAGTTAAGAGTAGAGGCTAAAAACTCAAGAAACTCAAAAATCAAGTCGACAACATCTAAGTACTTCTATTAGTTGTGCATGCAAAAGCATTATGCAATAGGTGACCGGTAATATGGGCAATCGCAGAGAACTGTGGGATACGACGGCTTCCGGTTCGACGCACCCCGCGGACATTTTCGTACCGCTCCGTTGAAAAAAAAAAAAAACACCTCTCCGTGCGATGTCAGTGCTGTAGAAGTTGTTTTTTTTTTTGTTTTTGCTAACCGTGATTGTGTCAATGACAAGCTGCGAAAGCCACAAACGTTAAGCAAACGTTTTTATCGCACTAAGATGATCTGCAATGGATTTATGCTGCTTTCAGTTTGGCTAGCGGATCAGTCGATACAGAAAACAGTTTTCATTGTCTGATACATTACTACAGATAAAAAATCACTCTTTTAAAAATCTCAGGGGATGGGGATGACTGTAGCAGTGTGCTAAAAGTTCCTTTCGGGATCGCTGCTTCGGCCGACATCGTCGGTCGATCGGCATGAAGCGCAGCACCTATTGAGCGAATTGAGATATCTTTTTTTTTCTCGCCTTCTCCACGCTATAAAATGCATTTCTTAGTCGAAGCCAGATGATTATATAAACGCTGATCTTGATTAAGGTGCGCGGCACGGCGGCACATAAACAATACAGTCAAACATATAGGCGGCGCCAAATAATCTAAACCCTGTGCTTGTTTAACGCACTTCTTCCTTTGATTGCCATCCTGGCACACAGTTTAACCATGATAAACACAAATACACTCGTCCAGCGCTTCGTGTAAACTTACTTTTGAGTGAAGCTTTTGCCTTTTTTGTCATATATATGGGTGCAAAGGCAGGCGCTCATCTCGTATGACCGGTAGATTTCCCCCACGCGTTGCCATACTATCTTTGCTGGGTGCGCCTGCGGGACAATTTATTTCTCAATATAGTGTTCACAGCAAATTCGTACGTAATATTTTTAGTGAGGAATACACATGTATCTGTGATAAAATTCTTTTGCACATTCTGGATTTAACATTCCGTGTATACTCAAAGGCTACCTGTCGCCGTGGCTCTCTTCACAGCCGTGGCCCACCTCAGTTTTCTTTCTTCGTTTCGTGGCAATCGATTCTTGCATTTGCCTTTCACGCTCGAGTTGGAGCAGCCAACAGATCAACAAACGACCATCGTTTATCAGGACGAAGATAAACGGGTAACCGCGCCCGCGAATCCCGAATAATCTGAGGCTTGCGGCGAAGCGGTTCACCGTCATCTAGTCTTTTTGAACCGGAAGCCGGTAGCAGACGGTGCATCCCACAATCCCTCGCTCTCTTACTGGTCACCTATACAAGCTATTTCACCGATTTCGCTCGCAGGAAGAGACCGACCAGGCCGCAGCAGCAGCTATAACACGACCGGAAGTTGCACGCAACAGCTATGCTCCGTTGGTGTGAGCTGTTGGTGTGAGAAAAAATTTAAGAGATAGACGAACAGCGCACAACGCCTCCAGGATAACAGGTGTGTATACACTCTGCCTCATCAAGTCGCTCCACCTGGACCGAAAGTTACGTTTTGATTGATTGATATGTGGGGTTTAACGTCCCAAAATCACATATGATTATGAGAGACGCCGTAGTGGAGGGCTCCAGAAATTTTGACCACCTGGGGTTCTTTAACGTGCAGCCAAATCTGAACACACGGGCCTACAACATTTCCGCCTCCATCGGAAATGCAGCCGCCGCAGCCGGGATTCGAACCCGCGACCTGCGGGTCAGCAGCCGAGTACCTTAGCCACTAGACCACCACGGCGGGGCGCGGAAGTTACGTTTACGAGCCCGCTGTGTCAAAAACGGTAATTAAAAAAATTCGGTAAAAGTATAGCATGATGTAAAAGCGCAGACTTACTATCTGGGAGGCACTGCACGGATAACGCTGTAAGTTTTGTATCTTTAGAACGAACAGATAAGCGTGAATGAATTCTGTGGTGTGCATGCGTCGCCCTTCTTTGTCCCTGCCGTTTATGCGCTATGTTCACTCCGAGCTTATATCGTACGTTGTAACCGTATATGAACATAATTGATTAATATGTGGGGTTTAACGTCCCAAAACCACTGTATGATTATGAGAGACGCCGTAGTGGAGGGCTCCGGAAATTTAGACCACCTGGGGTTCTTTAACGTGCACTCAAATCTGAGCACACGGGCCTACAACATTTCCGCCTCCATCGGAAATGCAGCCGCCGCAGCCGGGATTCGAACCCGCGCCTTGCGGGTCAGCAGCCGAGTACCTTAGCCACTAGACTACCGCGGCGGGGCAACCGTATATGAACATAGGGCGGCAGACTCACTCATGAGTCGAATCATACCAGGCCGTGAGTTTGAGTGAGTCCGGGTGAGTTATACTTTGGTGAGATTGAATCCGGGTGAGTCCGCTTAAGGCAAATTTTAGTGAGTCGGAGTCCGAGTGAGCCACCAGAGAAAACAATATTTCTTGAGTGAGTCTGGTTGAGCTCTAGTGTATTTGCCGACCTAGAAAAATAGGTGCCACTTCATTGCTACAGATTCCGAGTTTAGCACTCAATGAGACATTTCATGCTTTCGCAACACCAAGAGAAGATATTTCAGTCCCAGAGGCATTTAGCGAACGGTCGCGCCTGCTGTTATACCCTGGAGCCATCAGATCCCTAGCTCAACTTTTGAAAAGCTTTAATTCTTAAAACTTTGACAATTATGGTTATGTAGAGAAAGCGAAAAAAAGAAAGAGGAAGAATAAAACGAGGACAGTACCTGTGCTCGTGGCTTGAATATGCAAAATGCTATATATAGTATAACGGCCCCGCATCTGGTGCAACACCTCGGAAAACAATCCCGCAAGTATATTGCGTTGTTTCTGCCCTTGTCAAGCAATGGCGACATTCCACACGTGGTCCGCCTTGGTTAAAAAATGATTACAATGCTCGGCTGTTGACCCGAAGGTCGCGGGTTCGATAGCGGCTGCGGCGGTCGCATTTCAATGAAGGCAAAGTGATAGAGGTCAGTGTACTATCAATGTCAGTGCACGTTAAAGAACATCAAATGGTTAACATTTCCAGAACTCTACACTGAGGCATCTCTCATAATAACATCGTGGTTTTGGGACGTGAAGCACCTGGTAAAATTTTTATTGCATGCGTGCGAGTGAAAATTGTAGGTCTCGTGCTGCTTTCAACGAAGGATTAGTATGCACGCTGCATGTTGAAGTTGTTTTCTTGTGGCATCGTATAATACCCGTGACGCACCACACAAGTACTTGTATTGCACAATGTGGTTTGAAAGCGAAAGAAACCATCAGGAGTACCTATTGTTAGTTGATTGATTGATATGTGGGGTTTAACGTCCCAAAACCACTATATGATTATGAGAGACGCCGTAGTGGAGGGCTCCGGAAATTTAGACCACCTGGGGTTCTTTAACGTGCACCCAAATCTGAGCACACGGGCCTACAACATTTCCGCCTCCATCGGAATACCTATTGTTAGTGTTACAGGGGTTAAGTACAAGTGCAGGTCATCAAAAGGAATTGATGACTTCGTAATGTGAATATCAGAACTGCGACAAAGGCCGCAAGATGTTCGTGTTTTTCACTGTACTAAGGAAACTCCCGATTTCGATGTTGACTGGCGTCCTGCTTAATAGTGATGCTAAAATAGTGAAACCTACAACACATACAAATATCTTTAAGTATGCTGCGTCGAAAACTCCAAAGTTAAATAAACTCGTCCCGTACGTACAGAATAACTAAGTCCATATCATATTATTAGTTTTAACATTTTAAAACCACACACACTGTGTTATAATCAGGGGTGGTGACAGTAAGCAGTAAAAAAAAAAACTGTAGCCCCCCCCCCCCCCAAAAAAAAAAAATTCTACCTGCAGCTGGTTAGCGAGTAGCGTATGCCGCATTTTTTCTCTCCTTTGTCCCAAGCGTTATGAGGTGATTCGACGTCGTATTGTATATTGAGTGAGTTGGCGCTTATCGTTGGCTTACCCAGATCAATGAATGCGCTGGCACCTAAAGGTTAGATTGTCGTGCGACGCTACGAATGGTAGATGAATATTTTAATTTACTAACAACTCACCACTTCAGCCATTAAGGAAAAAAGTCCTATCAATAAGGAAGTTTCATCGGTTGGCTAATTAATCAACATTTTTGGTGGGCGCATTTAAATAGCCTGAAACACTTTATACTCACACGAAGACTATACAGTTACACGTTCTGAAAAAAGGTGCGACACCAGGTAATCATTAGGGCGAGGCTGGCTTAGCTTTTTAATTGTCATGAAGTAATAATGACGCAAATCCAAGTAATTAAAGTGGACGAAAAGTGCCCTTTTTCTTTGGTGGGATTCGCATCGTAATGACCTTCAACAGAGGTTTCGCAGTATTTCTGAATAACTGATATGAATAATTCATAGGGTAAGGGTGCGCATTTACTCGATGGAAAAAGTGTTTTTTCGTCCGCTTTAACTTCCTTGGACTGACGTCATTTTTACTACACTACAACTAAAAAGACAACGATTAATGACCCCTCTGCTTTCCCGGCCCAAGTCGTCTGTTGGATTCATGACAACGTAAGCAACGTAAGCGCTGCCATCATTACTTTAGCTAGGCCCCCGCCCGTAATTGCTCTTGGCACTGGCGTTGGTGGAGTGCCAGCATTTCAACAACCGATGGGAGACACACGAAGATACACTTTCTTTCTCATACCACTCTGAGTCGTCAACTTGTTTTTCTAAATTCAGCAACTCTGCCAAAGTCGTCTACATAGTACCATAAAGATTGATGGTAATGGAGAGATATATAAAGCAGTACTCTTAAATTGTGTCTTTTTTAACCCATAGTTTCCTAGGGCCAGACATAACCACATCGTTTTCTTCTCCATTCTTTCGGGTGTTTTATCCTGGTGTTCACGGGTGCTTTATCCATTTTGTAATGAGTGAACTTGATCAGTTCAATTCCTTGTTGCTAAAAATAAGCTTCCTTCCTCACCAAAAACTGCTATGTTTTTCGCTCTATACCTTAGGCGTAAGTGTTAGCCTCTGTAGCAGTTGTCCTGTGTCTATGTCGCCGTCCACAAGTTACTTGGCTGGTCAAAGCTCCATTCTTAAGGAGGGTACTTGTCACACCTTGTGTATTCTCAATTCCCAGAGATTCATCCTTTCGTTATCGGCTCTTTTTATATGCTGTTTATGACTCTATTTCCTTTGTTACGGGCTGCGTTATGACCGCAGAATACTTCGGCCATTCAGAGTACGTTCCGCCGAGCACCGCTCGCGATCGCTAACAATGGTTCTACTTTGTAGGTAAATACTGTTAGATTATACGTTCAAGTATTACATGTTGTTTCAGTCCTGCTGGTAAAATTTTAGGAGAGTGAAGCCAACGATCGTTGTTCCGGGATGCGCAGGCGGCTTTCGGGGATTTTAAATGTGATGCGTGACCAAGGGTGATCAAATGGCGAACCTGTTATCACCGTGAAACCAACCCAAAATTTTATGGGAACATCCAGTACCACATTATTAACTCAATGTGGGTTCTATAGCATCACGGTAAGAAATGAGCGCTAATGAGTCGAAATTCTTTACTTGCTGGTTGTGCTTTGTCTTGTACTGACCATAAATCTGGTTGAATGGAATGACACTGCCGCTATGGCCCGTAAAAGAGCGAGGCAAGTACTGACCCATAAGTAAACTGAGCGAGTAGCCGAACACCGCTTGGCACCACACCAGGCCCCGTGATGTGATTACCTCCACGGTACCGTTCAAAAAGCCGCCGTCTACCCACGTGGCTGCAAACAAAAAGGAAGACAATTCATTACACCGTACTTGGCCCACTTTCAACAAAGTATGCCACAAAACTTGCAGATCAAAGAAAAAAGAAAGAATGTTTCTACTGAAAGGCAAAGTATTTCACTAGTGATCTGCTGGCCATCAGCACATTCCACGCTGAAATATAATGTGAGTGGAAGAAAGCGAAAACGTTCTTTTTAAGGCACAAAGGACAACAACGAATGATGCTCAAGAAGCAGCGGATGGGTTCAGGTCGTGCGAACTCTTGCCTACGAACAAAAAGCGGTCCTGTCTGCGTTAAGGTCTATCACTACCATAGAATACATAATGAAAGTACCTAAACACATTTGTGTGTCCTCGACGGTGCATAAATGCAACATTTTCCCCGTTAATGACAGCGGTGCTATAGCGATGTTTTTTCTCCGTTCTCATTAAAGGGAAGTTTTGCCGATTTATCAAAAATAGTAGTGTTGCTTGATTGCTTGCTTGATTAATTGATTGATTGAAAGTCTCCGAGCGATTCTGGAGCTGAAAAGCGATGCCATCGAGGGGGCAAGGATAACAATGTCACTCACCACCTTAAAAGCATTCCCTGAAAGTGCACCAAAATATGCGTGATCGAAATGTGGCTGCCTTCGCCGTAATACTGCATGGTTAAACTTTACCGAGCTTCTGGATCAATCAATCAATCAATCAATCAATCTACATATCTATCTATATATGTCTGGTTGCTCTGCAGATCGTCCCCTTAACTTGGTGTAGACTATAAATGGCATGGGAGAGTAACAGGTTTTGACTAATATGACGGTCTGGTCGTGATACTAATATTGTGAAAATTCTGTCACGTACGTCGTCAAACCTTTGCCTCCAGACAGGTCTGGCACATACCCGCAAACCACGCGCCACCGTATGTGCCACTGCTGTTTGAAAGTTTATATTTAAACCCAGGAATGGCAAGAACAGACAATAGTTATTTAAATTCGAGAGTGTCAAGAAAAACTGCCATCAGCAGCGTTGATCCAATGAATACAAGAATAAAAACTAGGGTTCTAGCAGGAATCAAAACCATGCCTTTTGCGTGGAAATCTAGTATTCTACCAGAAAGCCACGCGAAGTATAAGAACTGGCCCCGCCGCGGTGGTCTAGTGGCTAAGGTACTCGGCTGCTGACCCGCAGGTCGCGGGTTCGATTCCCGGCTGCGGCGGCTGCATTTCCGATGGAGGCGGAAATGTTGTAGGCCCGTGTACTCAGATTTGGGTGCACGTTAAAGAACCCCAGGTGGTCAAAATTTCCGGAGCCCTCCACTACGGCGTCTCTCATAATCAAATGGTGGTTTTGGGACGTTAAACCCCACAAACCAAACCAACCGAAGTATAAGAACTGCTTCGAAAAAACAAAACAAAAACACCATGCTGGCATATTGTTGGTCAAACGTCAGTTCTGGGGTGCTATACAGGATAATCCGAGCTTCTCGGACAGAAGAATTTGCTCCGAGTTCGCTCTGTGGCGGCCTCAGCCTGAATACAGTGCGAAGCACGTGATAATAGCGTTGATCAAAAATGACGGCATATCTACGGGGTGAAAGATGAAGAGTGGGGTGAAGCGTTTGCTATTTAAAATACCTGGCCCCACACCTCAAAATTAAACTTGTCAGTTAAATGTCATTAGGCAATGTTTATTAAATAACGTTGTTTATTTTTTGCGGTTTCCGTTTTGCCTGAAAGCACCGAAAGCGGTCCTTGCCCTGACTGCGCGTGAAAGTTTGCAAACACGGCGTTGATGCACGTGTCCCTGATGGTCATCTTGCGGTCGGGATAGTCGAAGGAGATGCACCTGAGTTCGTACCTTCTCGTAATGTATTGCATCAACAAATGTTTGTTCGGGTACAATACGTCAACGTTGAAGTCACCGACGAGAAGGAACAGCCTCGACCTTTCGTATATACACATGTCCTAGTCGATGAACCTTTTTACGTCTTCGATTGGAATATTGGGCGCTAGGTACAGCTTCTCGTGCGGCCTAGCTGGCACCGCTGCCACGCCGCATCGGCCTCCCGCGCTCGTACATTGGGATCTTGTCGGTGCCGCCACGCGGCTTCATGGCACGCTTTTGCCTCGCGCGCCCGCAGATCGGGGTTCCTTCTTCGAGTGCGAGCCGACGCCACCCTGCGTGCATGCCACTCAGCTGCCTCGTCCATCCCCAACCCTTTGAACGCACGCGCGCCAAAACGGCGCTTCTATTTTACTATAGAGCGCCATCTGGCTTACGGCCCTGCCGAAGAACACGCGATCGCTGTCGCACGATTGTCCTCCGCTCTCTCTTCTTCCCTACGTGTGACGTGAATCCTGTTTTCTTTAAACTCACATTTTATTATCTTTTCTAGAAGTAACGCCCTCTAGTTTAGGGTCATTTGCATTTTCACCGTATATGTATTCGTCATATAGTACAAGTATCACATTCTTTGGCAGGCTCCAGAACTAAGGAGAGGTGATTACTACAGAGATCGGGTGATGCCTCAATGAGCTTTTCCGCTATTATGACTACAGGAACGAGCGCGGCGTTAGAAACGCATGTGGTACATTTGCGGTGGTTAGGAAAGAAACACCGTGCGCGAATACGTTAGCGCTCCCACTTAGTCAATATTTTAACAGTACAGTGACGTCAAAATTGACTGTCGTGCTGTCTTTTTGCCAACTGAACACGTGGTACCAACAGGCGTGTCTGTGGGCGTATGTCCTCTTTCGGGTAGGTCTTTCGTTCCACGTTCAGCATAGAAATTCACTCTCTCGAAGGCATCATGGGTGCACGCGCAGCAGTCTCGTCATGCTCATTTCGCTTCATCAAATATTGCAGATAAATATAAGGACAGGTGGGTCCATCAGGAAAAATGACATCTTCAAATGTTCCGTGCTTGTCAGACAACGTTTCTGTAAGATTCATGCCATCTTTGTTCTTTTTTTGTCAAACTGCGAGCACAGCCAAATGAAATGTTCGATGTCACTGATGTCACCACAAACGGCACAAAACGGCGAAGTGCCTCGCCCAGACTTGAATGATCAAGCCGGCCTGTATGCGGAGTCAGTTCTTATCCAGTAAAGCAACATCGCTAGCATCATGACGGAAACGCAGTTGTGATTGGACACGTCGTGAACGCGGTGAAATTGAATGTGAGACATCATAGCCGCGTGATGATATTGACGTGGCTGATAATATCACTTTTACTACTGCATGGGTGTGTACATAGTCTGTGCAATAAAGCTCATAGATTGATCGGGCCGCTCGACGTGCGCATCCTCGACAATAGCAAACGTGGTAAGCATACCCGATCTGTGCCAAGGGTTTCTGTCAATCAAACTGCTTGATGCGTGAACTCGAATACAAACTATTTGATTCTGATTGATTGATATGGGGCGTTTAACGTTCTTAAACCACCATATTAATATTAAAGACGCCGTACTGGAGGGCTCCAGAAATTCAGACCACCTGAGGTTCTTTATTGTGCACCGAAATCTGAGCACCCGGGCTAACAGTATTTTCGCCTCCATCAAAAATGCAGCCGCTGGAGCCGGAATTTGATTCCGCGACCTGCGGGTCAGCAGCGAGTACTTCAGCCACAACAACGCCGCGGTGGGCAACTCGTTGATTCTGAGAAGGCACGAGTTCAACTCGTGACTGTCATGGTGCCGATGCGTCTTGCAAACGTTTGATGTGGTGAGCGCTAAGTGGCATCTTCTTTGCATGTAAAATAATTTGGTGAACTTGCACTACTTATGCAAGTGGGAGCCATAGTGGAGCTTGGTATAACCTAGATTCTTAAAGCTTCTTAAGTTGATCGTCTACTCATCTGCTTGATCGGCTTCAAAGTGAATACTACATCAGATCTGTTGTAATTTTGATTATACTAGCTTACTACGGCTTAACGGTCATTACACTGACCTGTTTTGTCTTCATTGATAGAGTTTCCATTAAGGAGCAATTATCTCGGGCATAGTTAGCAAGGCCATGATTAGTCTGAAGCTATTAAATGAAATCCCTATTAGTACGATACTATTTGTCATCATATTAGTGAGGGCCAATTAGCATACCTTTTCTTAGCATGCTCATATTTAACGTCACGTGACTTAGCACGCTTTAGTTAGGCCATTAACTTGCATGCTTTATTTAACCTGGTCCTAGCTTATCATGGTCTTCTTAACATGTGTGACATAATTACCTTGGCGCTGACGCGTAGCCAAAAATTTTTTCTGGGGGGGGGGGGGGGGGTCACCTCCTTCATTTTAAAAAGGGCACCCTCTTTAAATGGTCATTTTTCGCCCTCTATGCCATGGCGAAAAACAAATCGGAGGGGGGGGGGGAGCACGGGCCCGGTACGCCATTCCCTGGCTACGCCACTGCCTCGGCCTTACCATGGCTTAGCATATTTAGCTTGATGGTAGCATGGCGGTGGTGGTGGTGGCTGGGATGTTACAAAGGCGGGACTAGCCTGGCCTAAATGGCCGGCAATCGTTCCGCTTCAGCATCTATTGAATTATAGGGGTGCGTCACCAATTGTCACTCAGCCCAGTGATTCGCAAGAAAGCCATTAGGATTCGTTGCACGCTCTTTCTCGTCGCCATGGGTCTGTCAGGAGAAATAACATCTTCAAATGTCCCGTGCTTGTGACAACCTTTTTGCAAGTTGCATGACATCTGTTTTTTCTCTGTGAAACTGCGGGCACAGCCAAATAAAATGTTCGATGTCACCGATGTCACCACAAACAGCACAATACGGTGAAGCGCCTCGCTCAGACTTGAATGATCGAGCCGGCCTGTATGCGGAGTTAGTTCTTATCTGGTAAAGTGGCGTCGCTTGTTTTCAATGAATTCTGTGCATTACGCATGGCTGACGCGGAAACGTGTTTATCGCCCTGAAGGGATTGTGTATTATATTTTTGTAGTTTTGGTAAGCTTTAGTAGTTATTTTTTGGAACGCCAGTTCGCGCTTCGCGTGCAAGGGCCTC